AGCTGTAGTTATAGGAAGGTATGAGCTGCCCAGTATGGGTGTTGGGAACCGAACTCTAGGCCTGTCTAAGTGCAATATGTGCTCTTAATCACTGAGCTAAGTCTCCAGCCCTATAATAAAAGCGTTTAGAGGCTGATTTCTCCTCCTCTTTACAATGGGAACTATAAAGTTTCCACATAGCTGGCAAACTTCTCACCTTACAGCTCTAAGACTGCGTTTAACCTACTTAGGCTCTCTTTGATTTCACTTTGAAGACAGTGTCTTCTCAGCTCCACATTCTGCTGTGTATTAAGAGTAGCGGGTAGAGAAACGCAGTGCCAGGGGAAACCATCAGTCACTGTTTTTTTTTTCACTTAGCTCATACATCCTCCCCATGTCATATATGAAGAACAATGGGACATAGGTACCATGACTTGCAAACCTGTTCTCTCGCTCCTCTCTCAAAGCCAGCATTTCTTCCCAAATGTACCTTTGACTCAGTTTACCCGGACTTAATAGAAGCTCCTCCATGCTAACTGTGAACTTAGCCAGAAGGCCAGCACCTCCTGCATGGCAGGTTCTCAGTGTGGTTAGAACCTCTTCCTTCTAGCCCTGCCCGCACCCCTGGAGTGCTGTTTGCAGCAGCCTTCCAGGCTAAAATCCACCCTGTATGAGGTGGTGGCACTCACTCAGCCAATTGGCACACGTCCCTTTCCTGGGAAGTGAAGGGGGCGGGAGCAGGTGGGGAGAGGTTGTACCACGAAGGGCAGGGAGGATACAGATTTAGATTTTCTTCATCTGTATATTAGCCTTTCCGACATGAGGAAGACAGAGGGTGAGGTTGCTTGATTCCAGAAGTAATCGAATGGTGCTTCAGGCACAGGAGAATATCAGAACTTCAAAGTTGAAAAAAGAAACAATAAAAAAGTTAGAATGGAAATGAAGTTAAATTTTACTTTCAAATTACTCTTCTTCTTAGCATATGGAATAATAATACCTTTCAGTTTGAGGTTTCTGAATTAAAATAAGAGATTACATTCTTTTCAATGAAAAATACCAGAGTGTTTCTGTAAAAGGTGTTTTATATATCTCCCTTACCACGGCACCTTACCGCAACTGAGAGGCAAGGTTGTACCAAGAAGAGTCAATATGATATCATGTTTGTCTGTAGTATGTAAAGCAAAGTCTGGAGCACGCACATTTATTTTGCTGACTTCACTGCCACACGCATTGTGGGTGGAGAAAACTTGTAATGGGATATGCGTTTTCCAAATGACCTGATGATCTCTGGCAGTTCTGACAAACGAGGTGTGCAGTGCTAAGTCTAAGGGCATGCTCATGGTAACTCTCCGCCATGGCTTATTCCGTCGCGTTTAATAAGAACCCCTGTCATTCATGTCAGCAAGTCTGTTTGGGTATTTTATATTTTCTGAAGTTATGATTGCATGATATGAGTTTGAGACTTTGAGTAATTGAAAAACATTGAAGGTTATTCCCGGGAGAAAAAAAAAATCTCACCTTGACAGATATGATGACTTGCAGTCACAGAACCTTTGAAATTGAGACAGGAGGATTGCCGGGAGCTTTAGACCAGCCTGGATTACAGCTTGAGGCCAGGCTGAGCCAGGAAATCGTAGCATGTTTTGAGAGAAGAGGAGATCAGTGTAGTTTTACTGTCTCCTGTTGGAGTTTATGGTAAACTTATTTGAATTTTGGAGTAAATATTTTAGTTTTATGAAAGGGTCGATAACCTTTCTAACTGCATTCTTAAAGAATCTCAAAAGAGAATTTTTCTTTAGGAAAGCTCTATAGTCACCATTTGTTGAGAGATATGACTGTGTGGATGTGATGGAATATTATTACATTGTATACAAGAATTCATTAGGTCTGAAAATGTAAGCAGTAGCACGTTGATTGTGGTCGCCAGAATGCTCACTTCACAGCTGAAGCTTAGCATTGAGCCGCCTTTTCCCGGTCAGCCCTCAGTGAGCTGAGAAGCATGTCTCCACATAATTTATTTCCCTCCATTTCCTACGTAGAGTCTTGCTTTCCATGGCTCTGGTTTTGGTTTTTACAAGTCTTTTGTTGGAGATTTTTCTATGAGATCATTCTTCTGTATTTTCCGCTGGTTTGATTTTTTTGTTCGACCGTTCTCATTCCTCTTCAAGGTGTGCGGTTTTGGTTCTAGACTCCTGACCTGCTTTTCTTGTTTGTATTTCTAAATATAGTCACCTGTGTTGGAGCGCGCTCACTTTCCCTTCTGTGTGTCAGTGGATTGGTTTCACGATCTGGCCGGATCGTATGCCGGAAAGGGCCAGGCTTTTCCCTTGCCCAGCACATCATTACCTCTGGGATGACTGGTCAGAAGCGGGTAGGAAATACGAAACAAAGAGAGAATAGCTATTAGACCGCAGTCAGAACTGAAGTGAAGAATTCCTAAAGCCAGTAGAGAGCTCAACTACAGAGTCCACTTCCATCCCACTTAGGAGTTAAGAAGGAAGGAAGAGAGTGGTGGAAGGAGGGAGGGAGGGAGGGAGGGAGGGAGGGAGAGAGAGAAAGTGGGAGAGAAGGAGGGAGGGAGGGAGGTCCTTCAGTAGTCTCAGTCATTAATCACCTATAATCTAAACACACTGAGTTCAGTCTCCTACTTGACGTCTGGAACAAAATTTCATGTGCAGAAAAGTCTGAATTTACAAATGCTATTAGAATCTTAGAGTAAAGTTTGAGGCAGAAGTGACACTGTGTTTTCTTCCCTGGTGTTCAAGCAGGTAGACAATAGCTCAAGGGATTCTTAGTGAATGGAGTCGCATGGCTCTGAATTACCACAGGTCTCACTGGAGAGGTTTTTTTCCCAGCTTGCGTCTGAACCCACTCCATACAGGCAGAATAGCTGGAAATAGCATGCCCTGCCAATTAACGTAGGGGAGTAGTTACCATGGTGTGGTCGCCCCAAGAGAGAAAGATACGGACAAAAACGTGGGCTGCTCTGATGTCAGAGGGATGGTGGCATTATGCCACTGGCTGGTACCCATCTCCTGGGGATACCATGTGTCTGTGATGTGAATATGCACAAACATCACCTCTGAAGATTAATTACATGGAAGATGGTTTGTTCTGTTCCCACTTAGAAAATTTAAAAGGGCAGGGGGGATCTCTAGCCAGTTCAGAATTGTCCATGCTGTCACGGTTTTCTCTTATGCAGCAATGTTAGGGTAGTGGGCAATTGCTTCACTCTTAACAAACAGGGAAAACGATTCCAAGTTGTGTTTACAAACAGAAGAATTTCCTTCAAAAACTTGTTCTTATCATGGATTAGAGAGAAAACTACATTACACATGCCATGTACATATCCTGGTGTCAGCAACCTTAGGGGCTCAAATTGTTCTTTAAAATTAAGAATGCTTCTGATCTTAGCAGATCTTGGGGAGAATTTAATTTGAGTGTGTGTGTGTGTGTGTATGTGTGTGTTTGTGTGTGCAAAATTTGTAAATATACATGTGTATGACACAATAGAATTTTTAAAAATTGCTGTTTTTGACTTCCTCTAAACTCATGTGAAAAAAATGTGAGAAAACAACTACTTAAGGGGTAGCTTGGCCTCTTGGTTTCAGACAACATACGGGACAGAATTTGGCCTCGTGGTTTCAGACAACTGAAAGACAGTTTGGGCTCAGAGTGTCAGGCATTTTGGTTGGTGGTGGCAGAAGGGGCAGGGTGGATAGAACAACTCAGGGAAACAGTGAGATGGAATGCCAACATTAACTGCCTTTCTCACTTCCTTTTCTATTTTCTCCACACTCCAAGCTTAAAAGATGACGTCGCCCATATTAACCTGGACATTTTGTCACAGATAACATCAGAGAATGTGCTTTGCTCATCTCCTTGCTTAGTTAGTCAAGTTGACAGTATTAACCATCACAGATAACTTTGCCTATTTTGTTTTAATTAAGAGGGTTTGCGGATGTGTCTCAGTGCATAGCATTCACTGGCGCCTATATTTGATCCCCAGTAGCACACACACATGCACACACATGCACACGCATATCTTAACAAGAAAAGTGTTTTTCTGTGTTTTGTACATTTTGAGAATTAACAAATAAAATAGATTTGTTAAAGATCATACAGTATTTTTAAGACAATGTTTGCATTGGCAGTTGCTCATATAGACTGATTTTTAACATTCAGATGAAAAATTGTAAAGCACAGCCACGTATCGCTTATAATTATTATATTATTTTATGTGTGAGTGTTTGCCTGCATATATGTATGTGCATGTGTGTGTGCACCATATGTGTATCTGGTACCTACAGAGGCCAGAAGAGGGCATCAGCTCCCCTGAATATGGAGTTACAGATGTTTGTGAATCAACATGTGGGTTCTGGGAACCAAACCCAGGCCCTCTGCAAGCGCCCTTAACCAGTGAGTCATCTCTCCCACACTACGACCGTGCAGACATTTTTGTTACCATGTGTACCTTTGTCCTTTGACAAACTCAACGCAGTTTTCCACACTTCTCTGCAGAACTTGTACTGAAAGAATGGCTAGTGCTGAAAGAAGTGTTTATGACCAGTAAATAACACAAATGGTTATTCAGAGATCATGGAGTCTGCAGGGGTCTGTTCAGTTTTAGGGAGAATTTTTGAGAGCCCAGTAGTTTCCTAAAGTAATCTTCCAGCTTGGAGATCAAGAATAAAAAAACACTAACTCACCATCTTCTACTGCAGAAGAGATGAGAAACTCAAACACTAAGACGGCGTAGAACCTAACCAGTCTCTGCTCACATGGGCTCCACCCCTGTAAACTCGCCACAAGTTCTTCTTTGTCTGTCTTGAGGATTGCATCATGGCATCAGTGATCTAAAGTTCAGTTATCCGAACTCAATTAAGAGATAGCAAAAGGAAAACAAAACCAAACAAAGCAAAACTGATCATGTGTTGTCTAACCGTTACCCTGCTACAGATGCAAAGTAATTGTGGAAAGATAAAAGGTCCCTAACTCCTGAATTCTGTTTTCCAATACAGGAGCCACGGCTGCAGCCCGGAAGGAGGTCATCAGGAACAAGATCCGAGCAATAGGCAAAATGGCCAGAGTGTTCTCAGTTCTCAGGTAAGGTTGTCTTTCCTCCCTGTCTGTTTGAAAATTGAGTGTGTAGTAGCTATCTTAACACTTTACTCTGACAGTTTAAATGTTTCACTAGAAAACATTCCTTGAATTGTTTATCTCTTTTTAAGTGGAAATTGTCAATTCGTCTGTATTGTACTTAGATTGCAATCTACTCAATCATTTCCACAAACCAAGGGTGTGTAAGTGGATTATGGTACATCTTCTCCCTCCCTTTGCTGTAGGATTTAAAACATTTCATAAGGAACGTGATTAGGGTCTAGTTCTAGTTTACAGTCTGGCTTTTGGGGAAAGATGAATTTATGGGATGCCTTTCACTGGATTTCAAGAAAATGAACATTAAACATAGAGCTGTAGTTGTGAACCCTAATGAATCACTTACAAGGAACAAAAGCCATCTCCTGTTTTAGGTTTCTATAGGAGTTTGTTTGCTTTTCAGTGGATCATGAATCATCCTATTGATGTTACTAAGCATGTATTTTGAAAACAGTTTATTGAAGAGGCTTCCCTGCACTGTACTTTAGAAATCTGTTCCTAAATAATGCACAGGACTCTACTTCTCTTCAAGGACCTCTTTAAAGTATGGTATAGTTTCTCCATGAGGAATGCTGCCCATTCATGGTCATACACAGGAGTGTGGAAACAGAAATGCTTTAGGAGTTAGCCACTGCACATTTTTGGCCAGTGGCTGCTGTAATTCATATCTGTCCTTCTCTCATTCTTTGCCTCTCCTCTCCCTCCTTTTCTTTCCCCTCATCCTCTCTTTTCCTCTCCCTACTTCCCTACTCACCTTCCCTCTCTCCCTGCTGTTAGAAGCTTGAAGTTGACCTCAAGTGTCTTACTCAAGCACTCCCTACTTTATTGGTTGGCAGTAGGGCCTCTTGCTGAACCTGGGGTTCACTCATTCTAGTTAGTCTGTACAGCCAGTTTGTCCCATCCCTGCATCCCAGGTGCTGTCATGCCTGCCTGGTTTCTGTGTGGATCCTGGTCATCAGAACTCCATTATTCCTACTTGCACAGCAAATGCTTTATCAAACCCTGAGCTGTCTCCCAGCCTTTAGTTGCTTCCTGTCAGGGGGTTCTGCCCGCTCTTAATTTCTCTCCCTGCGCTTTCTGCTACTCTTGCTGAAGTCACTGGAGAGTCACTAAGTGACTTGGTGCTGAAGCTAGGGGCCCTTGAGAAAGATGAGAAACATCCCCATCATGCAACAAAGACACCCCAAGTCAGCAGCAGCTCTGAGGCAGCTGGAGCCCTTTTGAAAAGTCATATTGACGGTGGAAATGAGCGTTATTCCTCCTACAAGGGCCTTTGTCTGTGCAATGAGTGATAACAGAGAAAACAGAGTTTGAGGATAGCCTACAGACCCACAGCCTGTGTGATGGACAGACAGCTGCTGTTTACTGAGTTGACTGTAGTCATTCTACCTGGCAGAACCTTTCTGATGAATCAGAAATTCCACCCTGGAGCTTCAGGGAGACGTGCAGAGGGAGGGCTGAACAATGACATAAACAGGTGTTCTTGTTGAAGAAGAGCATGGATAACTAAGGGGGAGGGGGAAACCTCTGAGTAGTGTCCTTTAATAGAATACAACATGAGCCACATCTGTCTTCTTAACTATTCTAGAAACCATCATAAGAGACACAAAACCACAAATACCCAGTTTCCTCACTCAGCGTTTGATCAGTATAGTATTTATGAGGCAACCCCAACCTAATCTACACACTGCATCCTTGAGGATTGGCATATCGGTTGGAAGCACACCCTTTCACTTGCAGTGGAGAGCTGTGTGTGGCTTTGGGTAGAGAGCGTGAAGGGTGCATCAAGGGGCTGAGAAGGCCACATCTACAAGAACATGATGGATGTGATCAGAGGAGACCTTTGAGGAGGTCACACTCCCCAGGGGAACCACAGAAGGACAGAAAGAAGCAGTTTTCATGCTAAGAAGACCCTTGAAGAAGACCCTGAAGCAGGGGCGGGGGGTCAGAACTGCAGGGAGCAAGAAATGTGCTGAATGAAGGACAAGAGGCACACAAGAGGGCAGGCAGGAGGATGGCTGTTTCCGGCATAAGGACTTCTACATAATTCACAATGTAATCTCTGTTGCTGTAAAGCAATTTTATAGAGGAGAAAACTGAAGCCCAGAACAGTGAAAGGCCTTACGACCATCTTTGTGTGGCTGGAACTTCAGCCTGAGATCACCTGATTTCAAGGGGGTAGTTTCCAAAACAAACAAAAGCTCTCAGTATCTCTGGTAGAAAAATAAAATTTTGAAAATTGAAAGAGTACTTTGGACAGCCAGAAAACTGTCATTGAAGTGCTAACAACCAAATGATCCCTGATCGTCATTGGCTTCTAATGTTCATTTTGTTTGAGCAATCCTGATTTTAAAATGGGATCTGATGCCAGCAGTTATTTGGTATGTAGAAATATTTGCCAGTCATGAAGCTAAAACCTGACTTAAATGTGAATATTAAGGTAAGTTGTGTTCATCTTTTCAGAGGTACACTTGAGTTTTCCATAGCTGCATTATTAGTATTCAAAACGTTTCTTTTTTACATAACCTAGCGGTTTGACATCAGAAGCGTAAAATGGTTGAAATTCCCATATGAATGTAAACTGTGATTAATTGCTGCCTCAATCCTAATATTCGTGAGTAAACTCTACCGTTAAGAAGAGAGAGTCTAGACTGTGGATCAGAACTGTCATCATCCTTTCAATATTTAAAAAACAAAACAAAACAAAACTCCTTGTTCCAGTAAATACGGACCTGTATACATGGTATTGATCCAGTGTGTGTGCCGGGATGCAAGAATGGCCAAAGCAGAAAGAAACCCCTGTTTTCCAGAAGCTTGACAGTAGAGAAGTGGTGATTAGAGACCAAAAATAAACAATAGAACAGGTAAAGCGTGGCTTGGAGCAACATTAGAAAGTGAGACTGGAACAGTCATTTGAAGGCAGAGGGAATGAGATACACAGACAATTCTGAGACAAGATGACTAAGGACAGTACCCTAGGATAAGGTGTGCTGCCTACATGAAGGACGCTGGTGGGAAATGTCATCTAAGAGCTGGGTGAGGGTGGAGGAGTATGGAGGGTGGGTAGATAGGTAGGTAGGTGTGTGATCCCCGTGAGATCTGCTGAAGGTTTTACCTTCCCCCTTAATGAGAGAGGGCATCAGGGAAGTTTGCATCAAGGAGCAAGAGAACTGGCATTGTTTGCTAGTCAATGTCTTAGTCAGCCTGCCCTTCTGTCTGAAAAGAGCTGTAGGCAGAGAGGGCAAACCTTGGAAAGATGGAGGAGAAAGACCTTCTACAAGGCTGTTGTAGTCAAAATAAGAGATGCTCGCGGTTCCTAAGAGACCACCACAAACAGCCATGTGTTGCGTGGCGCTGTTCCTGTGGAATGCCCATGCAAACAGCCTGCAGAATATAATGGAGGCATTGCCTGGGGCTGAGGGAAGTAAACAGTGAGAGCAGGGATGCTTTGGGGTGATAAAGTGTTATCAAGTTGATTGGGGTAACGTACAGTAATCGCACCACTGAGAATAGGTGAGTTGAGTGTGTGGCTGGTCAGCACAGCTGTTTTTGATAAATAAGATGGTGGAGTTGTGAGAAGCACTGAGATAAAAGGAAATGCGTGGGAGCAGAGGCATCAAAGTTTACCATGGGCGGAGCTGTGGAATGGGAAGGTAAAAGTACGGACGAGATGGAGCAGCCAGACAGTGCAGTCCCAGTTTCTGAACTGACATAAGGCACAGATCGAGGGAGAAATCCTTTTCAGTCATCTTAGAAATCATAAAATGAGTTTGGTACTTGGACCTACTCAGTACTGTGTGTATAGTGTGTACCTCTACTGATGTATTGTGAACTTTTTCCTGCACATGTAGGCTTGTAGGATCTGTCGTCTGGGAAAATAATAGGTTCTTCCTATTTCATAGGTCTGCTTCTTTAACTACTGAGTCTGTAAGTCCAAGTGATGTTAGATGGTCAGCTTAATTGAAATAGTGATTCTCTTGCAGCAATATTAAAACAGGGCCGTATGCACAACGAAAAATAAAAGTTCGGAAATGTTCGCACCTGCCTGTGGACCATCCCTCTATGTGTCTGTCACATGACACAGGCCTTCAATGACCCCTGAAATAATCTCTGTGTGTCTGTCATATGACACAGAGGCCTTCAATGACCCCTGAAATAATCTGTGTGTCTGTCACATGACACAGAGGCCTTCAGTGACCCCCTGAAATAATCTCTGTGTATCTGTCACATGACACAGTCCTTCAGCGGCCCCCTGAAACAATCCCCAGGTTTCTGTCCCTTAGGTAAGAATCACCTCTTTGGTAGGTGGGGTTCATAGACTGTTCCCGAGCCCTTCATGATAAAGCAGGCCTACACGTGCCCTTCTGCTCACTGGATACACAGGTCCTTGTCGTCACTAAAGCAACAGCTTTGCCTTGTGAGACGTGGTTATGAAGCCAGAAGCACCTTCAGGGTCTTCAGGGGGCCATAACTCCACAATTACATAATGTAGCTTTGTCACTGAAGTCATTTATAGAACACCCCCTCTGTAAAAATAGATAAAAATGGATTGTATTTTGTATAAGCCAATGTGAGGTAAATATGGGTTCTTATATATCTTTTTTTGTTCCATGAAAGAAAGCAAACATTAATTTCCACAAACCTTCTGTGTCTTCCAGAGAAGAGAGTGAGAGTGTTCTGACCCTGAAGGGCCTGACCCCGACAGGCATGCTCCCCAGCGGAGTACTTTCCGGAGGGAAACAGACCCTGCAAAGCGGTAAGCGAGCCCGGTGCTGTGGCTGGGAGCACACGACCAGCTGTACCAGTAGAACCTTGAGCTTCTCATTCAGCTCAGTCTTCTCTTCAGTTCTTCTTGACTGGAAGAAGGCCTAAAGCTCAACGCCAGTGTGATCAGTCATGTCCCACATGAAAGCACTGACCTTCACCTCAGGCCACGCTCTGTCCCTCCTTCGCACACGCATCCACATCTTCAGGCCTCCTTATGGGACATCTCACTTAGGGCACATGTGCACACGGCAGTATCTTTGAGTCGGAGCTCCCCTCTCCCGGGCCAATTAGTGGAAATTTTCTGTTACATTTTCATAAATCATCTGCCTATCTACATGATTGATAAAAATCTACACACAACTCTATGTTTGCATAGCTATAGATTTTATTGGAAAGACTATAAAAAGGGTAATTTAATCATCCACTTAAGCAGAAATGAGACTTAAACAGGCCTTTTCTTTGACTCATCAGAAATACAAGAAGAGAGATCTCAACTGCATTTTGGTTTATTTTTTTTAATAATGATATCTTTTTTTAAGTAGACATTTTACTTTATAGTCATAACTGGCTGGACAAGTATCAGCCAGCATAACTTTTTGTGATAATGGAAATTTTTTTATGGCTGCAAATGCCGCTGGTGACACAGAACCACTGAACAATTGACATATAACTAACAACCCCTAATTTTCAACAAACTTAACTTAAATATAGCTAGTATCACCCATGTTAGACAACACAATCGTGTATACTTTTCTTCTGTTATGTATGTTCTTTTATCAGTTTAATTAACACTACCACTATTTAGAATATAACTTACACAATATGGAAACTTTCTTAGGTTAGATTTGAACAGAAAACAAATATAGCAAAAATATAGTGTAGTATTTTAATATAATCTCAGCCTCTAGTTTATTTCTCCCCTGGCTCTTTTTCCTATTTTCTTTTCTATCTCTGTCCTATATCCTAAAAGACACAGGGATTTGGTTACCATTACATTATTAAGACATTTCTTCTACACAACACATAATGATAACTCATGGGCACAAAATTGCCAGACCATCTCACTTCATGAAGAACAATCATAACCTTTATTTTTGGATGAATTTTCTCAAAAACCACAGTCTTTGAGTTGACACAAAAGTTCAAAAACAGTTTGAAACAGGAAGATCTATAGCAATTGAGATAAACAAAAAAAAATCCCTCTTTAAACCTGTAGAAATCAATTGCTTCATAAACACAAAAAAACTTTTCCATCAAGATGAACATACTAAGAGATTAGCATAAAATCATTTCTATACCCAGAATGCAGTTCTGCCCAGCTGATGGACAGTCACAGCTTCTCATGAGCTCAGCACACAGCAGAGGCACACACAGCATCAGGGACTGACCGCAGATGGCCTGTGCTGAGGATAAGCGAGGCTATGTGTATTTCTACCCAGCGGTGCTGGTGTGCTTCCAGGGTTTCGGCTTTGCTTCTAAACCTGAGGTCTTTATGTTTTACAGTGGCCTAGTGTCACCTTCAGGTCGTCACCTGTGTCTGTAGCTTCACTGACTCACGTTCCTTTTCTTTTCTTTTAAACCCATCTGTTTGTGCTATTCTCTGTTGAGTTCACACACACACACACACACACACACACACACGAACACACAGTCACACATACTCTAGGTTGAGACTTCATTTGTCCTGAGAATTTGACAACTCAGTATATATTCCAAACCAATGCACTGCCACTGCCTGGCGATTCATATCTGACCCCCTTCCATTGGCAGAAGAGGAGAAGCGATGCAGAGATCTGATGTCCAGCTCTCCTCTGTGGTTATGAGGAATCCAGAATGCACTGCTAACTGGAATGCATACGTGGTCAATGATAAATGAACCTCTAATAAAGTTCAACCAGAGACCACCATAAGTCATGCAGAACAGCTCTACAAAGCAGCTACTCCAGCACCCCATCACCCATTAATCCCAACCCATCACCGTCGTAAACCACTCACCCACCCATACTATTGAACTCTAACACCATCTCAACCCCTTCATAATAGTTACCGATAACATACCTATCTTCATAAAAATACTCATTCTTGTAGCTTTTAATTTTAAATCACGAGAAAATACAAATTGTAGTCCACAGATAGAATACTACCAATGTTCAGCATTTTGAACTTAGAGAACAATTTAATGTTTTAGCACTTGATTAAGGGAGCATCATCTAAAAGCACAGACAAACTCCTCCACCTGCACAGGGAAGCTGTAGAGCCTAAGTAAGCAGTGGGCTTACTCAACCTTTGAAGCTACGGTTTCAGTATATCATTGTACTTTACTCAGGGACTTCCTTACTCTGTAGCTTCAACCTTGAGACGCCCTGTTCCCGAAGATGCTAATTCATTTATTATTGCTCCTGCCATGTCCCCACTTAACATGCAACACTCTGAACTTCATTTCCAAAGATGGTATTGTAACGGGAAAAAGAAAACAATGGGGACGCAGCCTGCCTGGCTAAAGACGTCCAGGCCTTGACATTCCCTCTGTGGTTCCCTGCCTCTCCCTTCTTTGAAGACTCCTATGTGTCTGCCACCTAAACAACTTGATTTTGTGTCCTTTTAACCGCCTCCCTCACATACACACCATGCATCTCTATCTCTAGATGATAAAAACTGGCATTTACTATTCGCTAGCATAAAGCATCTCACCGACGTCTCAGCCCAGCTCCAAGCTCGTCCTAGTCCTCCAACATTCCACCACAGATCACCGAGCGTGCATTCTAAAGTGCTCTTAGAATCAGAAACATAGATGTCCATAACCCAATTGTTAATTCAACCGAAATAACAGAAAGCATTTCTGCACGTTTCCCTAAACGACTTTGTCATCGATTAGTGAGCCAGGACTCCAGGCCACCCATTTGCTCCCTCAGGTGTACGAAGGCCATGGCTGATACCTCTCACTTCTGCGGTATTGTTCCCCCTTTCTTTGTAGCCACTCTGTCTAGTTGTCTGTACCAGAAGTCCACACTTAGAGGCACATTAGTCCCCCCAGTTCCTTTGATCGTCACTGACTTGTTCTTAGCCTTGAACCAATCCTCTGCTCATTTTCTCATTCATTTTGCACCCCTTTCTTCTTCTCTTCAGCTACTGTTGAGGCTATTGAGGCTGATGAAGGTAAATTGGCCAGTCCCCTTTCTGTTGTGCCCACAACAGACAAGGGCTCTGCTGGGTGTATTCTTTTTTTTTTCCGCTGTAGCTTGTACAGAGTGTGTGGGTGTTGGGCTAACAGTTGTGGCTCAGTATTAACCGAAACGTTCTTGCTTTAAAGGGGAAAGTGTCCTTCTATGGTTTGTTTGTTTGTTTTTTCCCTTAAAGCTATGTTTGATTTTTGTATACAATGAACCTAGTCTAATCACAGAAAACTAAAGGATTATATATCGATATTTATAAATTTCTATCTCTCGTGGATGATGTGGGGTGGGGGTTATGGCAGCTGCTTTTGACAAATGACATGTAAAATCAATATGCTTTGAGCTGAACCATCCCTCCCTCAAATCACTCCCAGGTAGGACAGAGACAAGAGAGAGTAAAATTAAGTTGAGTCTAGACTGCTCAAGGTCGCCACAACAGAAATGCTTGGTAGTGCTTTGTTACAGTTCAGCATCACTTACGTCTCTAAAATACTCGAACGTGAGACAAATGTGTGGAGGTAAACTCTTATCCTCGGCAGTTTTGACCAATTGCTATTTGGAAGGAAGTTAGCACTCACAAAATATGATGAAGAGCCCAGAAAGTTTCTGTGGCAGTGAAGTGGCCGACAAGACTAGCGAGCAGATGATTGATTAATGATTCGGAGCATCTGCTCTATGCCAGGCCTCTTGCTAGGAGCTTCAGAGGAAATAGAGAATGGTACATCTCCAACTGCCTTCTAGCACTACTCAAGAGCAGCATTGTTGACACTTTAGAACTGCTTTTTAATTGAATGCTGTCTTACTACATGGTTATACGAGAACTGCACATGAATATAATGTTCAATATTATGCGTACCACACCCTCTGGAATTTTTAAAGCATAATTTGAAGTTCCCCTTTAAAACAAAATTCTTCAGTTGTATTTTGTTCTTGCAAAAATAACTGATTTTTTCACAAATTGTGTACATATATAGTCCTTTGGTGTGTTGTTTAAAAAAAGTGTCACTTTAGCTCTCCAATTTGCTCATGATTTGGATATAGTAGGGGAAATGACAGTGATGTAAGAGAAAAATACAACTGTTTCCTAAATAGCAGTGAGCAAGCTGCTATTTATGTGGGAATTCTCCATTCCTCTTGGCAAAATCTAATCTGCAGTGTGCATTCCTGTTGATAGTTTGGCTGTTTTCTGTGACTCTGTGGCTCTGTGTTGTGTTAAGTATACTCCCAATGTAAATTGCTAACCCCCACTGTCTGACCAGCAACTGGAGCAGAGCACTTTCTTCTGTTCAGGGTAGACAGACAGACAGACGCGATCCGCAATGGAGCCCCATCCTGAACGAGCCCCTGTTCCGCTAGATTTGGCATTTCCTATGCCCCCACCCTATAGGTTGCAAAACCTAGAACTTCCAGTTTATTTTTTTAATGAATGAAACAGTTTCATGATTAATCATGATTGAGACGATGCCATTTAGAAAAAGACTAGGGTGTCTGTTATTTTTTGCCCCATAAAATAATTGAATTCATTTTCAGGGTGGGTGCTCATTGGGCAACACAATTATTTTTCAGTTTATTACCAAATTGCAAAATTAAGAAGCTTTGCTTTGGGCCTTGGTCCTTCCCCATCTCCCCGTGTTCTTCCTCCCACACTTGACTAATCACCACTTTGCTAACCTGAAAATGCAGACGGGGAACAATTTGTTTTTCTTTCTAATGAGCTTTTAAAGCACTGTGTAAATCTCTGAGGACTGTCATCTGTACTAGTGGGAGGCTGCACGTTTGTGTCCAAGTGGCTGGCAAAACGTAAGCCTTAAACGGCTTCCCACTTTTCCTCCCAAAGTGGGGAGGGTACAGGTACCTTGAAATTGTCCTTCATACACCATGGAGATGCAGCCCAAGTCAGCATTGGTGATTGGCCACCCGTCCATACCTTGCTCGCACTTCACAGGGAGTGAGGCAAGCTGATGTCATTGGTTCCCCATCTGTGTGTTTTATTTTCAGCTCACTGTTGGTGTGCCCACTGAGGAAGTGATTAAGTTTTTCAAAAGTACCTCTCATATCTCTGTAGCACACACAGGGTCATTAGAAGAGAACGCAAGAGAAGCCAAGGTTTTAATTAAAAGAACGAGAACCAATTCAATTCATTTTTGCTAAAAATTTGTGAAAAGCATTTCATCTCTGCTTCTCCTTTAACCCCCAACTTATTGTTGCTCTACAGAGAGGGGGTTTTTCCTGGTTTAGGTAGTCACGAGTGCCAGATGTGCATCAGCTTGGCCTGTTTGCTGCTGAAGGGCAGAAAATGCTTCTCTGCTTAGTCATCTGACCTTTATTTTTGAGTTTCTCTTACCTCCTCCCTTACCCACTGTATATAGACTTCCAGTGCAATGTGGGGAAAAAAGCTTATGATTTCATTTTCCCCCATACCATTGAGTTGATAGCTTTGTGGAATTTGGAGATGGCAAAACCACACATATCCCCGCCCATTCATTGTCTAGTTCCTTAGACCTTCTGTTCTAAGCCGTGGCTAGAGTTCTGGGTAGAGCAGAAAGGGCTTCCACTGAAGTGGCCATCCCTAGCATGGCGGTAGAGTGAGAACGGGGGATGTGCAGGCTCTTTAGCCCAGGGAATCCATGGATCATCATGCTAGTGATGCTGCCAGTGATGCTGGATCCCAGAAATCTGCCCCTGGAACAGCTTTTTCCTTATCCACTGTGGATTTCTGTGAACTAAACTTTGATGAAGACAGGAGAGATGCTTACATCTTAATCACTGCAAGAGGACATTTTGGTTGGCAAGAGACATTGGCTGTTTCAAACCCTTGGTTCCCTCCAGTATGGTAAGGAGTCTGTTGTGTTGTCATCAGGTCCAGTCACATTGTTCTCCACTAAAGGACCCACCCACTCCGAAGTCTCTAACCTCACCCGACACAACCGCGGTGTCCTGTGTGGTGCTCCACCTAACCTAACCCTCTCTCTCTTTTCTTAATGATTTGTTGTTTAGCTATCAAAGGATTTTCACCACAGCATAAGATCACTAGCTTCGAGGAGGCGAAGGGCTTGGACCGAATTAACGAGAGGATGCCACCTCGCAGAGATGCCATGCCCTCCGACGCCAACCTTAACTCCATCAACAAGGCTCTCGCCTCAGAGACTAACGGCACGGACAGCAACGGCAGTAATAGCAGCAATATTCAGTGACCACTTCCTGTTCACTTTTTTTTTTTTTTTGAGCTGCAGGTCATGATGGGATTGCTGCATCTCAGCAGTTGGATGTTCTTGCCTCTGACGGTAGCTTGTTTGCTCTGGGGGCCAGGAATTGGATTCAGTTTACACTATCATGAAATAAAAAAAAAAAAGAGGGAGAGAGATAATAAACTATATTTTGGTGAGGGTGGTGATTAAACACCTCTTTTGGGTATGCCTTTAAAAAATGCTTCTAGGAAAAAAAGGTTTTAAAAAGAAAGCTAATGCTAGTCTATACTGCAATGTTAGGGAAGTGAACGTGTTTTCTGACTACACTGGGGACTTCTAGATAGGTTAATGAAAGGCCTTTTACTCTGTTACTGGACACGAAAACTTTGTCTAATTTCTTATACTCTATTGTACGTTTACAGTGCAGCACTAAAAATGGATGACATCAAACATTTTTAACGACGACAAAAACAATGATGTACAAACTAAATAAGGACTATTTATTGATAAGGTTTTGCTACTTTCGTCAGACAATGGCTAGAAACTGAATTAGGCAGTCTTTAAAAAAAAAAAAACCTGGAAAAAAAAGAATGTTGCAAATTTGTTAAAATGCCAAAAAAGGACAGTTTAATTTTGTATAGCTCGTGCTTACCTCAGGTTCCTTTAGTTTGCTTGAATACCCTTCTTTCCGTAGAGCACTTGTTAATTTGGCAGCGAATACATTTTCTTTAAGTTTTAAAAAAAAAACTGGAATAATTACACCCATCTTTTTTGCTGTTTATATTTAGGGGTTTTGTTGATAAATCAAGTCTCGGTTGTGGCTTGCTGAATTCAATATTTATGAGTGGCGCATTTTTAAGTATAGTGAACACGACACCACAGTGCAGTGACGAAGCATCTGTATTCTGTAAAAAACAAAAACAAAAAAAAAATCTGCCTATGCATGTTTTTTAAGAAAAAAATAAATAAAATGGCTGTATCGGCCTGTATGGGACTGTAATGCGCTTAGTGGTCTGACATATACTGGAAATGTATGTATACTGGCATACTTTATATTCTCTAAAATGCTTAATGCCTTTGAAATTTTGTAATCAAAAAAAAGCTTTGAAAAAATCTAAAGGGGAGAGTATTCTTAAAAGTTTTTAACATAAGCTTGTCAGTGCACACATAGATGGTTGGCATGTTTAGCAAACTTTGTGAAATTTAAATAAGTTTGTAGTTACCTGTGAAACTCTAAATGCATGGTCACCGTTAATGTCATAACAATTTAGTTATTTCCTTCTCTTCTGTCATGTGCCACAAAAAATATGTACTTTTTTCACTTTTTTTCCCTTTGTATATTAGTTACGGGTTACAACTGGTTCATTCTGAAAACAACAACAACCACCAACAAAAGTCCATTCATATTTTTTAACAATTGTATAAGTGCCCAAGTCATTCACTACAGCCTAAAGCCTTGCCTTTGTAATTTGACTTCTGAAATGTTGGCAGTCAAAGCATGCACCTGTAACCATGACAAAGAAAAAGCATTTTATATTACTATTCAATAAAATGTGCATGAACTTAAAGAACGCTCATCCTTTCACTGAGTCTGCTGAAGGGAATCTTTTGCACAGCCACCATGGTGTCCTCCGGGTGCTGGCCCTTCAACACCCTGCACACTTAAGACAGGCTGCTGCCTAAGGGCCTTGTGATCTGAGGAGTGCTACCCACTTCTGCTGTAAAAGTCTTGGTGGATTTGCGTCTCAAAAATCAGGCGAGAGAAGTCTACCTAGAGAGCAGATGCCATCTTCTGGCTCCCTTGAATGCAGGACCTATTTAAGAAACTAAAGCATTCCTTTTCATTGAAAACTAAAAACGAAATAATCACCAGTTTGTTATCAGGTTGTATCAGTTGTGTGGGATGCCCCTCAGCCCCGCTCTAGTGAGGACGAGTCTCCTAGGCACATTTCCATCAGAGGAGAGCTGCGTTTGTAGTGCCGTGAAGGTTGTGTTCCCGTGCTTCAGTTACTTCCACACAGAGGTTTAGGAGACATCACGTTTCAGTTTGTTTCTAGCATTGTTCGTTTTTCAACGCACTTTGTTTATGTAATAAATTATGCCTGTTATATTAAATAATAAGAATATGACAATCAGTAATAGAGTGTACCAAAACAAAGATACATTCGCTGACAAAAACTTCCCCAGGGTTATTTGAATGAATCAAAACGGGTTTTTTTTGTTTTTTTGGTTTTTTTTTGTTTTTTTGTTTTTTTTCCCTGTGGATATTTTCCTAATTTTAAACAAAAGTGGCATCCAAGGAAAAAAGATGCAACTTGCTAGAATGATGTGAAAGAAATGATAATTCTGGTACCAATTTGTGTATTTTCTTTCTTCTATCTGCAGAGAAAATATCCCAAAAATTTTATTATTAATAACAATCGGGTTTTTTGGATTCCTTTCTTTTGCAAATTGTGCTAAGGAAACTATGGCATAGAAATAAACATTTGACATTAAAATAAGCAGTTTCTGTGAGTATTGCTTGTCTTTTTGCTCAGTGTTAGGAAAGAGACACTGTATTTTTTTCACGTTATAATTTGATCTGTCGAAGAAATTTATTTAGAGCTGAAGGTCTTCTCCAGAACCAACAACACTTACAAACCCTTGTTATTCGTCCTGTCTCTTTAAGATGTGGACTATTGGACTCATGCCTAATGCGTTCTCTGTCCGGGTGCCACTCTGATCCCCAGCTGCCGTTGCCTGGACGAGCGTGACTCACTTACCACAAGTTACCAATTCTGCTGAATTTGTATGAAGTCTTTGGAGTTCTAAGAGCTAGATTTGCTAGTCCCGCTACGGCAGGCTTTCTTGTCCGTACATTCATCTTACATGTTTTTTTTTAAAAAACATAAAAATAAGAAGCTTAATAGGTTCACCTGTGATGAGAATCAAGTGTGGTGTCTCAGTCTGTCTGCAGCCCACTACTTAGGGTCTCTGTGAGCACTGGAGCAATCCATGGCATCTGTAACCCATCACTTAGGGTCACTGTGAACACCATGGCACCCGTCCTCCCATCATTTAGGGTCTCTGTGAACACTGGAGCGGTCCATGGCACCTGTCCAGAAAATGGTCCTCTGATGCTATGAAAGCCCTCTGAACCATTTTGTCCTGAAATATTGCTAATGATGTTCATTTTTAATGCATATATAGTAACAAAGGGTACAAAATTAAGAAATAATATACCTATTTCTGATGACCATATTGTCAAGAGGCAACTGACTTGTTGATGTTTGTGCTGAATGATGGAGGGTCTGTTTTAAGGAAGACTGAGGAAATGTACTAGGGAAACAAAACCACCTTAGTGATGATGTTTCAGAAGATGATGTTTCAGAATGATGCTGACAATGGAAAACATCTCCTTACCGTGACAGAGAAGTGGCTCTGAAATGAGCCTGCACTCCTGAGAGTAAAGCCTCACTCAAAGGCTCTGATACAGACGCCCTGCGTTGGCATCATAAGCGCCTTCCAAAAGAAGCTGTGCTGGATGGGTTAGACACTGTGTCTGGTTAGAGGAGCTGAACTCAAGGATGGCGAGTAACCTGACCATATCCAGATGTCCCTGACACACACAGGACTAAGTGTCCCTACAACAGGAAGATTCTGAATATCCTATCAATCACTCACTCTAAACTAGCCCTTCGAAACATGGTGTCTGCAGTCATGCTGTTTCGAAAATGAGCTCTGCAGCTAACAAAGCCCTCTATGTATCCTATACTTTGGGTGTCTTTCATAGATAGATAAAAGATGCCAGCTGAGAAGAATTTCCTCTAGATTGGCAGGGAAGGAAAAAATGTAGAACTAACAAGCTGAGATCTTAGAACAAAGTTGAGTTAAACTCCAATCTGAAGGTATTCTTTCCAAGTTACACAAATTGAGTAGCCCTTGTCCAAAATGCTTAGGAAAAACCAGGGATGTTTCCAATTTTAGGATTTTTGAGATCTTTTAGTAAGGGTGTGTATACCATTGGGATCCCCAGTCTGAAATCTAAGATACTCCAAAGTCCAAAATATTTGGAGGTATTTCACAAAATTTCAGCATTCAGACTTTTGACTAAGAGATGCTTGACTTAAATTTTCAGTGTTTTCAATACCCAAATGATAGGTATGGCTAGGTTTGTTATCAATAATGCCACAATGTCTATAGGAATTAAACTTGCTTCTTCAAGGTGACATGCAAGAGTAAGCTTGTGACTCTTGGCAGTCAGCTGACTTTCCAGTCTCACCTCTTCTTGTCTTCAGCTATGTTGGACTGCACACAGTGCTTGGGTGCCCATACAATTCTCAGCCCTCTAGATATTCGCTCATGCATTCTCTGTGTGGAATGGCTTTTCCCTGAAGATACGGGGTTCATCTTCAGTACTCGGGTGAGACACACTCCTTCCTGGGAGGAGTGAGGTACCCTATACTACCTGCATTTCAGCATTTACTCCACTCACGTGCAATACTATTGTGAGAATGGTTGCTTCTTCTTGAAGTTTTGCCCTGAAATATGGCAGAGGTGGTGCCTCTTGAAGGAAGAAAAAGGAAAACAAGAATGCAGATTTTCTCTGCATATCTTCACTCTTCAGACTCCATCCAGGAACTATTTAAGGAACAATGGATTAGTTCTTTGCCATCAAAGGTCCAAGTACTCCTCATAACAATTCCCTATATATCCACCATTATGGCCTGTTTCTACAGAGACAGTAGTTTCAAGAATGCCTTTTTGAGGGTCAGCACGATAGCTTAGCGAGAAATGGCACTGACGACCCAGAATCCACATAGTGGGAAGAGAGAACTGCATGCAATAGCATGTGCATGTACATGTATACACACACAGACACATGCCACACGAAACAAAATGCTTCTTGAATGTACACTCAGTAAGCCTACCTTAAAGGACTGTATAATGACATTGAAGTTGATCATGGGAGAAGCTCTCCTTAGGATTCAAAGCAGCAGGTTTTTTTTTTTTTTTTGAAAAGCGTTTTGTTAAAAGATAACACATTAGCAAAGGAAACCACAAGCCATTTGTTGGCTGCTAACACCCTTGTGAGAAATAGTTAATCACAGTTCTGACAGGTTCTATCAAAGGCTAATAAATGCAGGTCTTTGTAGAAAAGAGACAGTTAGAGCCTGGGAGAATACTTCAGAAGAGTGAGGTGGGTGCCAGAGCTCAGAGCAAGACCTGATGGGGCACAAAGATGCCACAGCTGTCTGTGCTAGGTGGAAGCCCAGCAGAACAATACAATTCAGTGCCCAGTCTTCTCTGTCACCCTGTTGGACAGTGGCATGAGTCAGCATCCGTGCATATGGGCTGCCTTGTGTGAGACATACCCACCGGCTCTGAGCATAGTCAGCCAGTTCCTGCTCTGCTGCTTGCCGCACGGCTGTGAGACCTTTACTGAGCTTCATAAAATCTTATTCCATACTTGGCCAAATGAGTGATGGATTCTTAAGCTCTCTGTGGGAATTAAAAGGCACATGTAAATGAAGTACTTGGCAAGGCGTAAAACGATCCCTCAAGATATGTTCATGTTATCCAGCAGCCCGCTGAATTACGTGAAGGTTTATGTATTCCATCACTGAAAACCTTGTGTGTGTGAGGCACTGTCTGCTGAGAACATTGGTGTGCTCAGAAGAATCTAGTAAGTGAAATGGTGGGGCTGTAGTTTTCCTAAAACACTGAGGTAGAGAGCAGAGGAGATTTGGGCAAGCTGGAGAGCTGCTGGTCTAGCCTGGGAAAAGACATAAGAGCAAAGAAGACAGGTCAGCCACTTTGTGTAGAGCATAGGAGGAATATGAGTGAAAGATGCAACCAGCTACAGCCAGATGAATTGTTTGCATCCAGAAGTTTTCAGTGCACAAAAGTATATTCCTGGTAGACTGGGCAACCCACAGAGACACTGCTATTATTTGAGAGGAATATCTGGGACTATTTGGCTTGAGATTAATTTTGTGGATGGATAATATCATCAAGGACTTAGGCTGTCCCTATCCTTCCAAGGATGTTGGCATCAGTCCTCGGCTGCAGGAAGCTGTCCAATAGTACCTGGAGATGCTTTCTCACACAACACTCTTTGGCTAGTGGAAAACAACAGCAGAGTCACCTATAAATACAGCAAAGCTGAATTTATTGCTTATTGCAGCAATGTAACCACTACCTCAGCAGGGTCACAGTAAATCCAGAAGGCAAAAGCAAAATATTTATGATGTTTTGTTTGCTTAAGGTTGTCTTTCTACATAGGAGTCTAATAAAAATCAGAGGAAGTTTGGGGCTCTGTGGGTTACAGTTGGTACACACAGCAAGGGGGAATTTACTAAGAGAGTTTTCAAGAGAAAACAGTAAATATCTAGGCAAGGAGGAGACTTTCTTTCCTCCTCAAGTTCATTAAGATATTTATGATGACTGAGCCGTGTGTGTGTGTGTGTGTGTGTGTATACACGCACGTGCGTGCATGCGTGTGTGTGTGTGTGTGTGTGTGTGTGTGCATTAAAGAAAAAGAGACAGAGGCATAGGTTGGGAGATTCAATGCAGCTAAACAGTCCGTTCTCGAAGGATTTTACAGATTCAATGTACTTCCAACAGAACTCATAGCAGTTACTTAAAGATATAGACAAGCTGATCCTAAAATCAAGAGAATCTAAATCATGGACTAGCACTGTGGCCTGGTGGTAGCATGCAGAAGGCTCTGTTCAATCCCCAGCACCCCCAAAGGCAGATGCAATTCATTTTATCTAAGTAGCTTCCTGCCTCCAGTACCCAACAATGCTCTAACAACAGCGGAGAGATAAGACACACACCTAAAAATTGTCAACTAGGAAGTGTACAAAGACAATTCAGTGGGACAAGCAGTAACTTTCAGAGAATTGACTAAAACAACTGGAGATCCCCTGACAGGAAAAAGACAGATTTGACTTGTCTCAGGTGACTTGCTCCAAAATAAAAATAAAACATGTAGATTTCATTTTAAAACACGAAATTAAAAAAAAATACTAAATGAAGGCATAAAAATATATTTGTGACCTTGGCTAAGTATAGGCTTCAAATATATGACATTGAAATCATAACTCCAGAAGTGAAATTTACAAATTAATTAGATTTTATTAAAATTATTTTTTCTTCTTGCTTCATAGAGGGTTTAGTCTAGAGGAAGATGTTACCAAATTATACCTCTTATCCAAGAGCCTGGATATGTGCAAATCTTCATGTACTCAATAACAAACACATTTTAAAATGAAGAAGAAATTTGGAAAAAGCAAATAAAATATAAAGAAAATTAAATGTGCACATTAAAAGATACTCAACATCATGGTGACTGGGAAAACAGAAATCAAAATCACATAGACTGTTGTGGTCTGAATAGAAATGTCCCTCCCAAACTCTTTTGTTTTGATACCTGGTCTCCAGAAAGGCTATAGAACATTTACAAAATGGAGCCTTGCTGGAGGAAGTACATAACTGGGGGGAGGGGT